CATTTTTAATTCATTTTAATATGACAATTGTAATGTTGCTTTTTAAGATGTCAATATTTGTATATTTCATTTAATTGAACAACGTTATTTTATGTTTGAATTTTTAAGATGATGAAAAATAATTGTGGTCCTCAATTAACTGTCAATAATTGATTTGCTTTTATCTTCAAATTTTAAGGCCTTCTCCTACCACAGATTTAATATTAAACTGTTACAAATATAGTCGTCGGTTTCTACCTGCGACTAATAAACAGGACTCTAGATAAAAGCAGGAAAAAAGATTTACACGTATCTTTAAAGATGCATATTCATAACAACTCAGTAGAGTTCGTAGATGCTGGCCTGCTGATGATAAATTGTAAGACATATACATACATGATGCCGACCTGTTAAAGATTTATTGTCCGAACCGATAAATAAATTGTGTACAATACGTAACAATTAAGAACTTATGGTCGTTAACTTACGCTCGCTTCCTTCATTCTATTGAATAGTTAACAGTCCGTTCACACTCGACAATTTATGAATTACACGACACGATGTTTTTCTGTTACAATGAACAAATTGTCTCTTCCGATTTGAAGATATTAACAGAAAACGAAGAAATAATTAAAACACGCAACATGACATTTATAATATAGTTCAGATACTATGTGTGATGAGTTATAACATATTTGCCTTTGTTCAAAACTTTGCTATCACAATTATACTGTTTTCTGCCGTCTGCTGCTAGTAACTGTGTTTATCTCGAAACAAAAAGTAAAACCTCCTGATATAAAAAATGGCGCCGTCCGCTCTATATACATTCTTTAAGTTAATGCTTTTGATTTCTTGGTGAAGTTTAATATCGTCCTTCTTCCTTCTCGTTAGAAAGAAGAATTATTTCTGATTCAGAAAATATTAACCTTTAGCCTGCTGGCGGCAATTGCAAATCAAAGCACAGAAGGCGCTGAATTTGTTTGGGTCTCAGAATGAAAGAAAGGTACAGGTTGTGAGATTATATGTATAGTGCCACCAAAGCTTTCCAGCGTTTTAATTGTAGTAAATTGGCTATAAGACTGATTGCAACACTGATATTCAATCCAATGTTTATTTGACTTAAACAATTTGAAAAAAAAAATGAGTTGCCTTTACTGGGATTTGAACTCCAGGCCTCCCGCTTCTTAAGCGAGCGTGAATACCCTTCAGCCACGGTGAATTTATATGTGAACGGCCTGAAGAAAACCATATTATTCGATCTAAATTAGGGCTTGTAACGACTTTAACTGTTGTTTAACACAGATGTAAATAATCCTGGAGCTTACTATAAGCATGTTTATTTATAAAGAATCAAAGGGCTGCAAGTTCTGTGGTACTTTCTGATCTTTGCAATCTAAATCGTACTGTATATCTGTATGTATTTTCCTGTATAAGTTTATTTTTATGTATTATAATTCATTTTGCTAGGCACCAGAGTTTGATACATACGGAATTCTACATAACTAGAGTTGCATCAAAAAATCATTTATGTTCATTTTTTACGACAGCCACACTTTATCCTTGCATATCATGGCTACTTCCTTAACAAAGACACTTAAAAAAGAATTAAAAAAAAAGTTTCCTTGACTGGGATTTGAACTCCAGACCTCTCACTCACTAAGCGAGCGAGTTACCCCTGCACCACGAAGAAGTTATACAAACAATGTCTGAATAACATCAAGTCATTCTAAATTTAGAACTTGCATTGCATTTCGGGTTTGTAATCCTTATTAATTTCGAGGTATTTTGTTCAAGATAAACCTGTTGTTTAAAACTGAAGTAAATAATTTAGCGAAAATCTTCTCGCCCAAACAGTCCGACATGTAGAATATATATATTCCACTACTCGGTTTGTGTAGTATTCGGTAATCTACATCGCTAAAAATAGTATTTTCATTGATAAAATCATATTCATCCGCGTAATTTGTGATTGTGCATTTATTGACAATTCTATAAGCCAACGCTATTTTTAAACTTTGAATGCGTTGTAATTTGTTGGTTACTTGTAACAAAATAAAAATATTTCTTTCTTTTAAATCGCTAGTTTAAAGCTGTTTTGAGAACTACTTGTTGTTAGGTTTGTCGTAAACTTCTGTGTCAGAGATTGAATGTCCGCTTTGTATTTACTTATTTTCGATCAGAAAATACAATAAAACAATATTAGACCATTCGGGAATTATTTTGCTTGAATATAGATGCCTGTCTTTGACCATCTTTACGCAGTGACCTCCCCTGGATTTTTCTGCGTTAGTGTTACATATAAAGGGAAGTAACCGCTTCAAAAAAGTGGACTACTTTCGGCATTTGCAATTAACAGCATTAGACTCTGAAATTTCGCTACCATTATTTGTTTGGTCTGACGACCCAAACAAATAAAAAAACCCTATGCGACGAGTGCAAGCCAAGACAAGAGCATTAGACACTGTTCGCTATTTAGACCCATGTTATTTTGAAAGTTCCCTTAAAATGATAAATGGTTTTTGTTCGGATTGCAATATGGACAATTCCATTAAAATATATATCATGGTAAAGGTTAACGTTACATCATTGTCATGTTTTATAGCTTCACGTTAATCAAATTAATGTTAAACGTATATTCCTTTAAGACAGACTTAGCACTTTATGCTTGAGGACTTAAAGTAAATACCACTAAAACTTTTAGTTTTAGTTTGACGCAAGTCTGAAGCACCTCTAGGCTCATAAAACTGGAATTACGAGTCCTAAATCTAAGATGCTGTAATTTATTTCAAATAATCTACCTTTGTACAAGACGCATACGTTTTCGTCAATATCTTAAATACGGTGATTTACTCTTTATATTGCTAAATGCAAGATTTTTGTGGTAAAAAGTTCAATTCATTTAACGATCTGTCACTTTTGATGGAATGGATAAATAACCCCATTCGGTTTCACGGATAATGGCTAATTAACCGTATGGTGTATGCTTTTCGTCTTCTAGAATCGTTTAATTTATTTATTAGAGCAAATTTTGTTTAAATTAAATAATATCGTCGTACTCTAACAACCAATATCAAATTTATTGTTGGAGCTCTAGTCTTCATGATTTTTGAAGACATCTGAAATTTAGTATACCAGTGTGGAAAACAGATTTTAATATTGAAGAAAATATGGAAGAAATGTGATTTAGGCTCGAAATTAAGCATAACAAAAATGTTTCTTTGTCTTTTTGTGTAGAATATATTATTTTTATATCTCTAGAGCTTAAAAACTGTAATTGATTAAACTTTTCTTTTTCTACCAAATAAATTTCTATGTGATCGATTTTGTTTTGAATTATAGAAAAAAGTATGTCGAAATGATTTTCTCATTAAAATATTAATCTCTTATAGCTGCACGTTCAAAAAGGCAGCAAATTTATTTTAAAAATTTTGAAATAAACTTTTAAGCGCCATTTCCGTCAATCTTCGGATAAAAACCTCTAATACACGGGCTGTTACTGTAAGTCATTTACAACAGCATTTAAATACAAAACACTCAACGGACTTCTAAAAGATTTTCATCGGTACTCAATACGCCATTGCTTAGCAAACATGCCAAAAAAACAAACAACAACAAAAAAACAACAACAAAAAAAAAAAAAAAAAAAAAAAACAACACACAAAAAAAACCCAGATTGATATCATTAAATTTTATTACACAGATCAAATTATGAGTTTAAGACTACTTGGTAACGCAATTTGGCTCCGGCTCCAACGTTTTAAGTACAGTATGTGGCGTGGCAATTTTCCTTTTCAAAGTATCACTTATGTAGGGGATACACATTTGATATCTCAAGCCACCTTCTTATACGAGACATATTGTTTACATTTGTGTAACTACACAAATCAGAAACGGTATTTTGCTACAACACCTAAGAATGTAAACAAATATCAAGAAAACTTTGGGAGTTGCTGGATAAGATTATTTCATAATTAGTTGTATAAGTCCATGTAAATAAATAAACGATATATTTTTGTATGTTGTTTGAAGAAACTGACAAATGCACATTGTATACCTACTGACATTTTTTCAGATTTGGTTTTAACTGTATTAAAGAGTGAATCTTAACATTAATTGTGGTTACAATCCAAATAATAGAAATTGTCAAAAGTGCCGAATGAATACCCCCACCCCCGACATGCGCTTGTCAGAAACTTGCTTTTTAATTTTGCACAAAGGGAGAGTTTAGTAGTTTATAGATTTTTTTCAAACATCAATAAATCAAAGTCTGAAGGCAATACGTCCTTTATCCCTGAGATTTCTGCACTTCTACTCAGTGAGATCGATCTACCTACAAAGTTTTATGTTGATCCCTTTTATAGATCTCAAGTTATGTCATGGACAAAATTCAAAGAGTAAAAGGACAATAACTCCAAACTAAGGGAACGGAGGGTTACAGTTCTTCTGCACTAACTTCTACTCATTCAGATCTATCTACTTACAAAATTATTTCGACAGATGTAAAAAAAACATTCTTCACTCATTATGCAAACACCCTCTGTTTTGTTTACATATAAGGTTACGTTTAAGAACTGTTTTAAATCTGAATAAACGTTTAGGTGATCCGATTATTCAACTGTGTTGTTTCGCAATAAAAAAGGCAATACATCCTTATATATTTTAAAGATCCTGTAACACAATTTTTTCATGGTTTAATTTCATAATTATGGTGCTCAAATTAAGATTTGTCAATATTGTAAGTTCAAATAAGCATTTTTTATAAATACATTACCCAATTTAACATTTCATGGAAATAAAGGGAGGTAATTACAGTCAAATTAAGTCAAATTTTCCAATAAGAAATGAATGCATGCAGTTTATTGATTAAATATATATAAATAAATAAAAAAACCCAAATATTTGCAGTACACATTTTACATATTCTTCGATGTTTGAAAATTGTTTTATTTGCATAATTATATACTTATATAATTTTTTGCAAGTGTGGTATACACCCAGTAACAATATCAATCATACGCTCCCTTCGCAGCTTACTGAATACACTCCCGTTACTTCAGACCGCTGCTTTAAAACGCGTCGATTCATGATATTGACCTTTACAGTGAACTTTGAACGACCAATGAAAGTTTTCCAAAATCCAAATCGCCCGAAAATCTTTATACGCATTTTCATTGGTGGAAACAGATGACGTATGTACAAAATTATAAATACACGGGTAATTCCTCAAAATTTTGTAAACAAAATGGCGACTGTTAACAATTCAACTTTCGATAAGCTTGCAAAAAGTTTCAATTATGGACCCATTAAACCGTTTCAAAAGGCAGTGTAACAATCTATCATTGAGCAGAACAATGGCACTTTTGTGTGTGCAAAGACATGATCGGGAAAGTCTCTGTGTTTTCAAGGGTTTACATATTTATATAGTGAACTTGGTGATTGTTTTGGTATTTTGCTGATGGAGAAACAAGTTTGGGAATTAGACAGATTTCTGCCACTTACATAGATCAGCGAAAATGGGGATATTCGTAGAGGAAAATATCTGTATTCTGTTCGACGAAGTACACACTGTCATGGTATGTTTTTCATTGTTCTTTTCACTTTTGACTAGTAAGAAACATGCTTTTCATTAAATTCTATATGTCAAATTTTAATTATATGTACAAAGGGTGTGAAGCTAAGATTTCTTTTTGGAAGTGGCAAGGCTAGTCGTACGGCTAGACAATACAGTGTGTCATATATGACCCGTAATTGTGAACTTTTTTGATGATCAAGTGGGAGATTTTTCTTCAAAAAGAGGGAGATTTTAGAATTTTTAAGAAACAAAGAAGGAAGTTCTGACATCAAATATTGGGAGATTTCTTTAATTTGTGAAAATATATACCCCTTATTTTAAGAAAAATCTTTAAAAATATGGCTGCAGAAAGTGGGAGTCTCCCGCTAAAAGTGGGAGAGTTCACATGTATGATGACCCACATACGGCAAGAACTTTTGTCTAGCCGTACGGCTAGCCACTTTCTATCTTATTTTCTATTTGTTGAAACCTTTATATTGTTAAATAAGCTTTGCATCAACTAAGCAGGTGTCAACTCAGCCCAGTATTATCATGATTATTTGTATAATTTTTATCTCAACATTTTATTTCATTGATAGAAACAATAATGATGTATCATTGATATTTTCCTCAAAATTTCTGTCTATCAATTATGGATACTGTATCGACACATTAAAAAACATTGATGATTTTGACATAATAATTAAATGTCTAGAAATTAGGAAAATTCACCCAAAAAAGGTGCCCATGTCTTACAATATCTGTTAATTGTTACTAGTGGAGAAGTGCTACATCATCTGTACATGTCATAGGGTGAGAAAAATGCAGTCTGACCCTGGACCCTCTACCAACTGAAATATACTGCTGCTTTCACATTTTCTCAGTGCAACTGGGAACAGTTCTGAAACATGATATACATGATTCTCAGCTCTTGAAGTTTTTCTCATTTAACAGAGCAATGTGAATTAAATTTTGGACTGCACCAAATGTCACAGGTTGAGAAAAAATTGCAACCTGATCGGGACTCAAACCAGGGACCTTTGAAACATGTTTCCATGGCCCTACCAATAGCCTAATTAATTCGGCGTGATCGGTTTGACCCATTTTACAGACTTTTTTTCCTTACTGTCAAACCGTTACGCCTAATTTTAACTGTCATTTTTACGCACGGAAAATCTACCGGTAACACTATCGATAGTTTGGACTGATTTTTACTGCTTAAACCTAAAAGTAACTTCAATTACCTCTAAAGATCAATAGAATATAAATTTTAGTACTAACTTCTCCTAGAAAAAATATCAGATTGTACCTGTCTTTGCGCATACATGCGATTTATTTCAAATTTGTACTGTCTACTCTATCTTCGGCGGACATGTTATGACGTCATCGTAAAAAATCGATTCCGTGAAAGCTGGTAGTAGCTACCAGTGTGTCTAGCAGGTAAGTGTGGGTTACGCATGAAGATTAAATTAAACAAAATATCGGGGGAAATAAATCTATTCATCATTTTTTAATAAATGTGTGCATTATTAGATACTATTGAAAAGTATCATTGTATTTAACCTAAAATGCAATGGTCCTGTTGTTTAATATTTTTTAAATATTTTAATACATGTACTCAACATTTATCAATTGGTGGTTTGCCTTCTTGTTTACTGCTAATGACTGCCAAATGTCACTCTCGGATAAAATACTGACTTCATTTATACATGCATATTTATATGACAATTAAGAACGTAAAAGAAATATTGAAGGAAACTATTTGAAATACATTTCAAATTATTCAGTATTTGTACAAATAATATTTCAAGAGCTCTTTTTCACCGATTGCCGATGTATAATACCATATTAAACCTATTGATAAAGTTAAATGTCTTCTTGACATACTTTATTAATTTACTAAAAAGGAACTTTATTGTGATCCAGCCATATGCTGTGTAACTATAAAGGAAGGGTCACATATTTTAATTGAAATAAATCTTTTTATATACGATATTAAAAAAAAGTCATTGAGAAGATCAGATTTTTCAAAATGAACAGATTAAGACTTATAAATGTATAAGGTGTATGTCTTGTTGTTTTCATACTTTTTTGGTGACACTTTTGTTTGTGTCCCTTGTTGTTTTCTCGTCTATGGTAAGTATCTTCCCTTTGCCCCTAGTTTTATTTCTTTATTTCGCCCCCCTCCCCGAATTTCCTATCCCCTTCCCCTGTGCCTGTTAACTTAGTGGTCCTGTTTCATACTTTTTTGGTTTCTCTTTTATTTGTGTCCCTTGTTGTTTTCTCGTCTTTGGTAAGTATCTTCCCTTTGCCCCTAGTTTTATTTCTTTATTTCGCCCCCTCCCCGAATTTCCTATCCCCTTCCCCTGTGCTCGTTAATTTAGTGGTCCTATTAATCATTCATTTATTTATTTTCTTTGATTTCCTTCTCAGTTACATTTTAGTGATAAGCCTGACCGTGCTCTCCCTTGCGCCCTGTCCCGTTTTAATTTAGAATCATCCTGGGCTCCTTGCCAATGGTTCATGTTCCTGGGTCGTGTGGGAGTTGCGTTCATTGAACGCCGCCTTTCCTTGCTCATCTTGTTTATCATATTGTATACATGTATACCGAACCGTAACAAACAGATAATGATTATCAATACAAGGTTCGGCAAGCAAGCAAAGAAATGTAAAGAAACAGAAAAAAAAATATCCACATTCATGTATCCACCCTCAAAAAAAAAAACCCACCAAAAACGCCTGAAACTGCAAAATCGAAACATAAATACACAGGAGTGCCAAAGACGGCTCTGGTAGGTGCAAGTGCTCCCTTTCGCCGGTTTAAACAGAATTGACCACTTAAACATAATAATGTTGAAATTTTTAATCAACATCCACAAATGTGTACATAATACGGCGGTAATCATGGAACTTTCAATATGACACATTCGAGGTGCCGTTCAACGGGAACTAGATAACATGGAATTTTTAATGGGTATCAGAGGTTTTGGTGTCCTTTTGCGACAGTCGTTCTAACATTTCTCCCATCTGTCTTACATTGTTATGCTATTCAACGTCTAAATAACGGTCACTAAATTTCCTCTTGCTGCGTTTTTATCATAAACCCCGTCAAATCTGTGCGACAATTGTATTTTCTGAGGACTGTCTGAAATTCCATTTTATAGTTTGAAATTTTAAGATTTTTTTTTCGGAATTTTAAAGTTATTTTTGGTTGTTTTGAACTTCTTCCCCTTCACAACCGTCCTCAATTTCTTTTAAAGATAATAAACTAGAAATTGATATGGAGTGTAATATAAATTGAAATTCTTCGTTACTTCATCATGTATAGTTTAATTATAATTATAATTCATTAAGATGTACTTACAATTACATTGTATTTTCGTATGTGGGAAATCATGGCAGGGTTAAAAAATAAAAAGGTAGTTCAGAAATTTCACCTAATGATCACAGATGTTAATAAATCCAACTTAATAATATCTAATTTGACAATTTAAACGGACTTAAATGCAGTATAATCTGACATCATAAACTATTTAATTTGTAAGTAAGGTTATCAGAATTTTCTTTTCACATTCTCTTTTTAATGCTGAAATATTTGTGTGTGAATAAAAGATGTATTCCTGCAATAATTCATATAAATAACATAAACAAATTGTATAATAAAGCTTGGCAAATACAATCGATCGCCGCCGATACCTGTGTTACACCATGGATTTTACCATGACACCGCTTTCCAATATGGCCGCTTTCAATAACATTCAACGATTAAAAAATTAAAGTGGAATATTAAGACTTCTGTTCGACTTTGAAGTATGATAATTTGGAACCTTGCATAAAAAACGATTCTCGTTCAGGTAATGTATACCGTTTCTTTGAAACTTTTCTAGTTTTCGCTCCCAACAACTTCTAATTGGGAAGCGTCCGTGCATAAAAATGCAGTTCGTGGTTGGACTTGGAAAAAGACAGCGCCCGTCCAAAATTATCTCGGTGTCTCTTTGACAAGTCTAATTAGTTGGACTACCCTACCAATAGCCCTATCCATCTGCTCACACATTTTCTCTCCTGAACATTGAACATTTCTAAACTTTGACATTTATTTACTTGCTTCAAAACTAAATATAATCTTAATATGAATAAATAAATATATACATGTGATATATAAAATATAATGAATGAGTACAAGCTGCTGATCATTTTGCTAAAAAAATCATATTAAAGCAAGCTTTTAAATTTTATTGTACTTAATACATTTTTTATACATAAATATACATATTACACTTATTCATGTGATGTCAACCTGGATGTTGTGGTCACCTGTCCTTAATTTTTTTTAGTTTAATTCCCTTACTGGCCACTACAGACAGGTTTGACTGTAAGTTAATATTAATACAGTACATGTACATGTTTGTATAGAGTGATTTTTGTTTAAACACCGTGGCTTCCTGAGGTGAAAAATATAGCAGGATAAAGGGTGAAATCCTGAAATCAAATTCTTGAATCTGAGAACAAAATAATAAATTTACACACACATTTTATAAAATTTTCATTTCAATTTAACATGCATGGTACATAGCCGAGACTATCTTATATATAGGGACAGCTTTCAGTGAGTAAGATGTACATGTATCATGTACCTGATATAAGTCAGCTGTTGTTAAGACATGCTTATGGAGAAGGCTGTGCACAGTGCATTTCTGGGGAAATAGCATTTTTAGGGGAAAATATATCAAAATATACCTATTTTGGACTTGGGGAAATAACCTTTATTTAAATATTGGGGAAAATCACTGATCAGCATGAAATAATTTTGTGATGTACATGTGTATATATATATTGTCAATGACAATTTGTCATATTGTAATATGGGAAAACTTCTTTCTAAATATTATACTATGAATATGTCATAAATTTGAAGATTTTCATTTCAAACTGGAATATAGAAAATTAAGTAGCCATCATTTCATACAGTGGTATTATTATAATTTTATAAAAATTATAATTTGAGCTGCGTCACGACAAAACCAACATAATGGGTTTGCGACCAGCATGGATCCAGACCAGCCTGCGCATCCGTGCAGTCTGATTAGGATCCATGCTGTTTGCTATAGGGTTTGTAAGCGAACAGCATGGATCCTGATCAGACTGCCCGGATGCGCATGCTGGTCTGGATCCATGCTGGTCGCAAACCCATTATGTTGGTTTTGTCGTGACGCGGCTCATTTTTAGAGCCATAATTTTTTTTTCATAAAATTTATTTTTGTCAATACTTGTGATGTTTGGATGATGTTTAAGGATTTTGGGTTGTAGAGGAGGAACAGGGGTATTAAGTGTAAGTCCTGGCCATGCGATGTTCACCTGGGGGAGTAATTAGGCTATTTTTGATAGTTTGCACAAATATCTGTCTTTTCACATAATTACAGGCTGCCTCAAAAACAAAGTTACTATTAAAGTTTGGCCATGATAGCTAGAGGGATTTTACTATTTCCAAATGTAAGGTGCTTATGGGGTATTGAAAGTATAAATTAAACAGTAGCTCAAAGGAGATACTTTAGAAGATGATTTAATTTCAAATTTTAAGTTTCCGCATTTATTGAATAAATAAAGTTTAAACTAAGTTTCTGCATTTTGACAGATTTCTGTATATGTTTAATGGATCAACACCATTCTTCTGAAATTAAGGTGGACTATATTTTGACATTTATTAACATAAAGTTGGTTATTTTCTTTAAAGAACAGGATTGTTACTGTATAAATGATGTTTTCATACTGTTCAATTCTTATATACATATATAATTGAATAAATGTCATAATTTCTGTTTTTTAGGGTATATGACAAGAAACAGAAAGATGTGTTTCATCCAGTGTTCACAGGGGTTGAAGAGCTTTGCTAGCACTTACAGCTAGAGCTAGTCCAACAGATTGTGCCAAATACTGTAAACATTGTGTACTAAGTACATGTATAAAAGAACCATTAGAAATAGTACAGTTGAACTCCAAGGCATAAAACATAGGAGAAATCAGTGATCAAAGTATCTGTGGATCTGAAAGCCTCTTGTAAGTGGGAAGTAAATGTTATGAACAAAGACTTATAATGTGATTTACATGCATTTACAGAAGATAAAATAAGGATTTTTGACCTTGTTTATTTATCTTAAAATAAAATTTGGGATGGAGAATTATGTGACATATTACTACAGCAAAGATCAAATCAAATCATCAATCAGAGCCAAATAGCAGTCTTAAAGTCTTCACCACTGCAAAAATGTTGAAATATGGTTAGACTTTAATACTTGAACAGTATGGACCATCATCAGTATATGATCAGATACCTGCATTCAACATAGAGATTAAGTTTAAGTTGTGTTGGAACACTTTCTCATGGAATGCTTTAATTACTTTATAGTATGCGTAATTTCAGGTCAAGGTTTTGCCCAGGTTTGGCCCAAAATGTTAAGTTTTGTGAAAGGCGACAGCCTTATGGTGACAAATTCATGAAAACTACATATGTATTGGTGCTGCAAGTTGTGACCTTTATCAAAAAGATGTAATGATGGAAATTTTACTGGTCATATGAAATACATGTGCATGTGCAATTTAAATTATATATTAAATCAGAATCTTTAGTGTCCTATCAACACTCACATCAAATGGCTGTACTTAGGTTTAAAATTCTGGCATCATTTTCCATGAAATTTAGATCTTTTCTTTTACAATTTTGTAATTTTTGATAAATTTTAAAATTAGCTGTTTCTGAAACATGAAAATTTACTGTGTGAGATATTGTGTAATGCATTAAGGATGTAACAAGTTGAATTTTGTTGACTTTATTTTCTGCCCACATCAGGCACCAGTATTTTGTGAATGATATCCCCTTTATAAATTTGAATATTTGGGGTATTTACAGCTTCTATGTTATTACTGTTGCTTACCCTAAATGAGATAGCACCTTTAATTAATTAATAATTAACAATGAGTTATGTCTAATTTTTTCACAGTCTTGAATAAATGTAGATCTGCAGGAAATGTTATAATTACATTGTAAATGATTGCATTTGAACTGGGGGCATTTGTTTCACATTAAGCATCATATCATATAGAACAAGCTGCATAAATCCTGCATAATTATTTTTGTTTAGGAATATGGTTCCTGATCCTAAGTTAGATTTTTTAATTCAACTTGTAATGTCTGAACTAACAGTTTTGCTTTAACATGAAATTATTTATGGGATATTTGTCATTCATGACAACATAATAAGACTTGCAGCATTTCTTTAAATGCTTTTAGATGTTACCAGTATTTGTTTTTGAATTTTGCAAAATGAAAGCATTGATGCAAAATTATATCAACCCTTAGCCTGTAGAGTTTCTTAATGGAAATGTCTGGCTTTCATATTTAAAAGTGTTTATTATCATTTTGGGTACATTATACATCAGGATGGAAAGTTAAAGTTAGTGAGACAACAGTGTGGAGCCTGTTCAGTCTCAATAGCCTGGCTGTATACTGCTGGCAAAGGCTAATCACTTGGTTTCAGCAGTGTAAGCGTTAAATGCTGGCCTGGTATCAAAGTTTTAGTAGGCATTATGTCGGAAAAGTTCAATGGCTCTGACAATTTAAAGTCATTCTTAAATTTTGTGTTCTAAGACTTAAAGCAGCATGCCTCCAGGTTCATGCTAATTTTCATTAAAATTTTCAAAATGTATTAAAAAATATTAAAATATTGTGAAGTGAACAAAGAAAGTAATTTACACATTGCAAATGGCACTTACATTCCACGTAAATAACCAAAAACAAGTGAAATATGCAAAAATAGTCCTTATAAGTCACGCTGGTGATTAATCATGGAAAATCAAAAAGTATCTTTTTACTTTTCTAAAATTCTAAGTACAGTTTATTTTTATTCATCTGCAGGCATGCAGTTTTAAAACTTATTGAACATTTTCTTTGATAAGCTGGTATAGCTTATTTACAATCAAGCATGAAAATAGCAAATTACACTGTCCTAAGGATAATGCTAAATTACGACCAAATAATATGACCTATTTTGAGTTTTAGCCTCATAAACCAGATACTGTTCCGGCCTTCTTTTGGCAATTGCCAAAATATTTATATATATATATAATTAGCTCACCTGTCACAAAGTGACATGATGAGCTTTTTTGATCGCTTTACATCGGGCTGTCGTCCGTAAACTTTTACTTTAAACGACATCTTCTCATAAACAGCTCAGCCAATTTCATCCAAACTTCACAGGAATGTTCCTTTGATAGTCAACTTCAAAATTTGTTCAAAAAATTTAATTACATGCAAAAGTCTGGTTGCCATGGCAACCGAAAGAAAAAACTTAAAAAATCTTCTTAAAAAAAACGAAAGAGCTTAAGCTTAAATATATGGCATGAAACATCGTCTAGTCAGTGTTTACAAAGTTTGTTCAAATAAATGACTTTGGGTCAAAATTGGCCTTGCCCGGGGGGGGGGGGTTCTATTAAAAAACCCAAATAGCAGCTAGAGCTTAGATATGGGTGTCTACAAAATTTGTTCAAATAAAAGCCCTTGGTTCAAAATTGGCCCCACCCTAGGGTATATGTGTAAAGTAAAAACTTAAAAATCTTCTTTTAGCTAGAGTTTAGATACTAAGCATGAAATATCTTCTAGTGAGTGTTAACCAAATAAATTTTGTTCAAATAAAAGCTCGGGGACAAAATTGGCCCTGCCCAGAAGGGGGTCATTGTTTTTCCCTTAATGTATATAGTAAAAACTTTAAAAAAAATTAAGAGCTCGAGCTTAGATATTTATCTTGAAACATCTTCAAATGGGTGTCTACCAAGTTTGATCAAATAAAAGCCCCTGGGTTAAAATTGGCCTCACCCCGAGGGCCTATATACAGGTGAGCGTCTTCAGGGCCATTATGGCCCTCTTGTTTTTTTTCTTGTGAATGATTTTCTATGTCATTATTTGAGAAATTATTAATTAGTTAGCTTACATACTTGCTGATAAAGCTTAGAAATCCTAAAATAGTTTACTTGGTACAAGTAGATGAAAACTGATCTACCTTTAGTGTCTACATGTAAGTTATTTCTGATTATATTTGAAGTAATGCTGGTCACATGACTATTGTGGTTAAAATAAAAACAAATTTGAAAGAAATTTGTTAAATTATTACCATTGATTTACCAAAAATAAGATAATAATCTGTAGGCTCTTGCTTTGATTTAATGCATATTTAGTAAACACTGTACAATGTAACAATGTGAATTGGAATCATGATTTCACTGAACATAGTAACAATATGACCGGGTATCTGACTCAGAAAGTTTAATATTAAACCAGTGCTGAAGACACAAATTGTACTTTAAAACCTGAAATTAAATATGCATTGCCTACTCAATAACTAGCTAAAAATATACCAACCTATTTGTATTTAGTGTTGGTCAAGTTTGATCTTGCTGTTATTCTATTGTTACTATTGACTTAGGATGTTAACTTCATAGGAAGAGAAATATTTGTCAATTTATCCCTGTGATTCTGAGTGACCTTACAGCCAACTTATGTACTCTTTTTTTTTTGTTATGTTTATGTGATCAAACCTTGATACATTATATTTAGGACTGTGGTTATACATGTATGTTAAATCAATAAAATATTGCATTTGTAATTTCATATACACATTGTTTTGAAAATCAAGACTTAGAGGTATGAAATAAATTCATTGATGATCTACAGTGCAGTTATTATTTTTAGCTTAACTATTTGAAGAAAAATGGGGCTATCCTTTACACCTGGAATTCTTCATCAGTGTAACATCTTAAAGTTTTTCGTGCAACTAATGGCTTGCACTTTACCTTGGTTTGAAATCTGCATTATTTCATGTGTAAAAGACTTTGCACACTTTTTGGGATCATAAAAATTGTCACTTTCCAAGGCCAGTAACTCTAGCATGGATTTTGACAGAAGTATGACCCTCTAAACTTGTGATTTAATACAGGTTAAAGTTTTGCCTGCAAAATTAATCTTGAAACTTAATTTGTATGTTTGTTTTGGGTTTTACGTCACATCGACACAGTATAGGTCATATCGCAACGTTCCGGCTTTACTGGTGGAGGAAGACCTCAGGTGCCCTTCCGTGCATTATTTCAGGCACAAACGGGCACCTGAGTAGAACCACCGACGTTCCGTAAGCTAGCTGGATAGCTTCCTCATATGAAATAATCCAAAGTCCCTGTCGGGATTCGAACCCACAGCGGTGAGGGGAAAGTGGGTTGAAGTCAACGACCTTAACCACTCGGCCACAGACGCCCCGAAACTTAATAATAGTATACCTTGGAGGTCACTGTCAAAGGCTCATAACTTGTGAATTTTAAATGAAATATGGCCTCATGCGAACATAAATAAAATTGCAACACTTGATCATATGTATATAAATGAAATATTCCTTAGTTAATTCAAACATTTTCAATCAAGTTCTGAGAATAGTTAAATAGAACAACTGTTCTATTGACAGCCCTTGTTGATATTAATGGACAAGCTTGTGGTTGCTGTGGTAGTCTCCTGATTGACTACAATATTATTAAGTAGAATAGCTGAATTTCAAATGAGTAACCAATGCAGTTTTACTATTGATGTTTAAAATAGTGTTGGTTGAGTTTGCACATATCTGTATGTAGTAGCCTATGTATATGTCATTTTGCACATACATGTATATATCATGACTGTACAAAACCTGCCCATCCATGGAAAAAACACAGGGTATGAAAGTACGTCAAATATGATTTTGGATATTCTTAAATGGCCATCATTAAAGCTAGATGATACTGACTTTGTATGTACTGTTCTATATAAGATCAGTCAAATTAATATTTTTTAAATTACTTTTTGTGCATAGTATACACCTGGACCTGGTGTAATGTTGCAATAGCATGTGATAACTTCTTCCGCTTTATTCATACATGTATATAAGAATGGCTCTGTTTTTCGAGGGATTGGTTGAGTTACTGTCGAAATGCTTCTGGTCATCTGAGAAAATATAAGAAAAATAATTTTAACGGCCTGACGTGGACTTTCTTGCAGCCAGAATATGCATGCGGACCATTATTCGTATTGAGCTACCGTTTACGTAGACTCCATTACAATTGACTATCCATAAATAATATATCATCGCGAATTTACCATTTTGGTCGTTTAAAACAAACAATTTTATGTAAAGTACAAATGAACACGCATTGTTTACATTACGGTGCGTCAAATTCAGGTATGTGACAAATCGTTACAAGTAAGCTAGTCACTGATTGGCTGAAGTGTAGACATGGATTTTCCTGTCTAAAAATAGAAATATCGGTCTGAACCTACAATTTTAGCAGAGGTAAGAAGTGAGCGATAGTGGAACATTCGACCGATGCGCAGGAGAGTATATCAATCACAAAACATAGAGGATCTTTAACAGATGTTTGTATAGAAACTCTAATACAGATAATTTTGCAATTAAAATTGTATTATGTACATTTTGTTCTTGCTTTCCAGGCAAATTTCTCATGTTTCAATTGATATTCGGTTCATTTATTTCCGTAACACTGATAAAAAGTAAACTCATAGCGTGTTCTATAATTGGCTATGGAAAACATTTATTTTTCAGTTTGTTTAATACTTACTTCTCGCGCAGAAACTGCCGTATATATAGTTTTATAATCGTCATTAATTGAATGAAATTCAACTTTAAAACATTCAACAATGTACCGATCAAATTTACTTTTTAAATAAGATGTATTCAGGGTCTCTGTAACTCGTTTCAATAAAAGTGATATCATTTTAAGCATTTTAATAGGGTTTTAAATTATGAACAATTGTTAAACTCTACCTCCATAGGTCATGTAAGTTGATATTTCATTCACGTTTTTGGTTTATTTAAAAACAAATTTCTATGTTTATGAACATCGCTTATACCTAATAACCTTTCGATCTGTGTCCGATTACATTGTTTCGTTATAATGGTATGCATGTTTTACTTTGTCATAGCTTTATCTCATGAGCAATCTGTAGGTATTGAGTTCGTGTATTGACAGGAAGCCTTTTTGAATAATAAAGTCATAAAAGTCACTTGAAGATCTTTTTTATGCAAATTCAAGTTTTTATAGTACATTAACCAGGTGACATTGTTGAGGTCTTCCTCCACCGATAATGCTGGAACGTCGCCAAATGACCTATATGTAGAGTATGGTTTGGGTAGAACACATGACCAACTCTGACTGGGTGTTCAATATTTATTTTGATGATGTGTAAATGAAACCTATAAAATGAATAAACAATTATAAATACATGAAATACAAAACACAAATTAAAATACAAATGCAATATCAATTCAACATTTCATATTTCAAACAATTTCAATTATTTAATTCATACATTTCATTACATTTATTTTAAGTAATTTAAAGTAAAACATATCTTACCAGGTGCAACTGGCTGACCTCTGTTATATAAAATTATAAATATCAAATCCGTTCTATAAAGAACAAACGTAAAGTTGATTTATATAAATACGTACAATATTCAATATGTTCTATGAAGAACTACTGAAGTTCACCTTACAATGCAAAGTATAAAAAATGATTTCTTAGAAAAGGAATGTAAATTGCCCGTGCATAAAATGATATGAAATCACTCTCATCCAATTACATTCTAACTTAACAAATATACAAGATATTTATTGGACATCACTTAACAACACAGAACATAACAAGGACATAACAAGAGACAGTTCACTGAGCATAGTAACTCACAACAAGAACAAGACATTACCCATAATTCTTATAATGATGAATGAAAATGATGTCATGTGTTTATGCCTGGATGAATGAAAATATACAGTTAGTTATTCACTACAGTGATTACAACTGTGTTTGTAAATATAGGATGAGTATACAGATAAGCAGTAAATTGACCTTATCTACACATAACAAACAGGTGACATTGTTTTAATATGATAACATAGCAAAATAGGTAGACAGTGTTTAGTTTGGCCTATTCGTGGACACATTAATGATGGATTCGAATAAAAGCATATTACCGAAGAGGGAAATCTACAAGGGTGAAGTTATATACAGTAAACTGCGCGAGGAAATGGACCAAGTTGAAAGTATGAATACCAGACAAGATGATGTGTGGGTATGCAGTTTTCCGAGATCCGGTAAATGTTTTTTCATTTTTTGATATCATTTTTATGATACGCTGTGAAATTTGCCATCTTTTAAGTTACATTTAATCAATTTCACAAAAACAGAAATAGCGACATTTCATTAAAAAATTAAGTTTCATATCGACTTTAGATCTTGTTTTGGTGTCCAGACAACCAAAATGAGTTTTATGAGCATAAAAATGTGTAACCTCATTGTGGCGAAAATGAAAGTTCAATTTCTGTTTGCATGAGAAACTCCGCCTTCAGATCATCACAAACATGGCTGTAAGTAACAGTCCTAATTTAACGGTATATTTCCGAATTTTAACGGATGTTTTCATATAAATTTAATCTTTTTTATGAGATGATAATTTTTTCTAAACCCCAGGTCTAGTGCACCGTGAAGCTTAAACGGTTAAAGTGTGTTTGCACAAGAAAATTTTATATTTGCTGTGTTCCGGATAGCAACTATAACACCGTGACGTAGCGCGTACACGAGTTGATTATAGTCTTCATTTGCATGTTAAAATTCGTATACAAACTTAAATGTGTTACCGTGGGGTTTTCCATTTAAAATCCTAATTTATGAACAATATTTGATGCATTTACAACGATACTGTAAAAAAGGTTAATGAAACTGTAGAATGCTTGGTTTTTAGGCCGACGGCAAAAATAGTTAATGTAGCTTTAAATGATGTTTGGCTCGAAGTGTCGACTTTCCCTTCTTTTTACATTACTGTTGGGTTGCTGGACACTAAGATAAACTTTATAAGAAGGATAAAACAAATCTTTGAAAAATCAATTAGTAAATCAAAATAAGTTTACATTTTGCCATTGTTCTTTAAAATTCTATAATCTATTTCGTATGAAAGATAAATAATTCGCATGGCTATTTCCTAAAAAATATCCATCGGTAATTATCTGTTTGTAACGTTTAATTTTCAAAAAAAGAGTGGGACAGTCTTTTCAGCAGAATTATATTTTATTTTAAACATTTTTCAATATCAAGTGTTGGTAAATCAACATTATAACAGTCAATGTTTTGATATATATATTATATATATATATATATATTATATATATATATATATATATATATATATATATATATATATATAAAAGAAAAAACGCTAATTTAAATTTGCCGTAGCTTTCGGCCTTCTTCAGCAGCATTTAATTTCTACATACAAATATATCAAACAAAACAATGGAAGTGACGTAACGTCAATGAACGACGCCCGCCGTGGCGTTGTTTGCAGTCTGCCGGACAAAAAAATCAATACCATATGGACTTGCCCTCCGTGCTAAGCGAATATGTACTAATGAAACGACTTACAAACAACATAGAGAAAATATTAAAACTCAGTTACAGAAACGAGGCTATGAAGATCGACATATTGAAACAGAATTAAATAAAGTAGATAGTTAAAAAAGAAGTGACCTATTACATTATAATGAAGATAAAGAAAACACTGAAAGAATCCCCTTGGTACTGACATTTTCCAGAGCGCTTCCGAATGTAGGACAAATAGTACGAAAACACCTACCTGAATTACACACCTCAGATAGAATGAAGGAAATATTCCCGAATCCACCAATTGCAGCATTTAGAAGAGATAATAACCTACAAGACATTCTCGTTCATAAGAAACACAATAAACTATTTTTTCAACAGCCGAATTCCTGTGCTCCTTGCAGATCCAAAAAGTGTGCGATTTGTCCGTACGTTATTGAAGCAGACACATTCATTGGTGTGAACGGGGCCTCGTATAAGGTTCGAAATCAGATCACGTGCAAATCTACGAATGTTGTGTATGCAGTTTATTGTAAGCGTTGCGAACGTTATATTTATGTTGGAGAAACAGGGGATACGTTGTACCAAAGACACCTTCTTAACGAACCAAATACAACGATCCGTTAGCGGTGCATTTTTACACGAACGACCACACAGTCAATGATTTTTCAATAATGGGGCTGGAAAAGTTATACGGGAATGACCAATACAGAAAAACAATAGAAAACTTGTGGAAAAATAAATTAAAAACCTATAGACCGTATGGAGTTAATACCAAAGAAGTTATCACAAGAACTTCTGACAAGTTGTCATAAGTAACAGTTCCTCCCCATCCCCCTGCGTGTACCGTGTAAGTTTGCATTCCAAGAATGTCTATCAATATTCCATGATAACCGCCGTATGAACACATCTGCGGATGTTTCTTAATTCAAAATTTTACTATTTCACGTTTAATGTTGAATTCTGCTTAAGCCGGTGCTAGGGGGCGTGGACGGTAATTTGCACTTTCCAGTGCCGTCCATGAACAGGCTCAATCAAACCGAGCCTGAAACATTTTCAATTTTGCCGTGTTGGGCTTTCTTAAGGGATTCTGTATTTATCTATTTTATGATCACATCAGTTTTATTTGTGCCGTGTGGCGGCTGTAAAAAGTCTCCCCGTACATTTAATCAATGATGTTATATTTTCGATCCTTGAAGATCGATCAGCACGACATTATTGTTGTGCTTGTGGTATTTTTAGTTTCAACTTTTCGGCATTTTCTAGTTGGGTGGTTCCAATATTCCTACTTGAATAATGTTGAATCACCCTTAGGATATGTTGCCTGCTTTTTTCATGGAATGGCACGGAAGTGTCACATTGAAGGTTCCATGATAACCGCCGTATGAACACATCTGCGGATGTTTCTAAATTCAAAATTTTACTATTTCACGTTTAAATGTAGAATTCTGCTTAAGCCGGTGCTAGGGGGCGTGGACGGTAATTTGTCCTTTCCAGTGCCGTCCATGAACAGGCTCAATCAAACCGAGCCTGCAACATTTTCAATTTTGCCGTGTCGGGCTTTCTTTAGGGATGAATCTGTATTTATCTATATTTTATGATCACATCCGTGTTATTTTGTGCCGTGTGGCGGCTGTAAAAAGTCTCCCCGTACATTTAATCAATGATGTTATATTTTCGATCCTTGAAGATCGTTCAGCACGACATTATTGTTGTGCTTGTGGTATTTTAGTTTCAGCTTTTCGGCATTTTCTAGTTGGGTGGTTCCAATATTCCTAACTTGAATAATGTTGAATCACCCTTTAGGATATGTTATCTGCTTTTTAAATTTGTCTTTTGACGTCTTATCTGTGATACGCAGGCTTCATAACCTCTGATCCCCTTTCAAAATTCCATATTAGTTAGTTCCGCCCATTGATTTTTTTTCGTTTAG